TATATTTTTGTTTGAAAAGATTAAAAATTTAGTTATTGATTGAATAGTTTTTCTAATAAAATTTTATCTTTTGATATATATATACAAAGTGTTTTTTTTCTCATAATCCATTCAATTATTCACAGAATAAAAATAATTAAAATTTTTTTTTGTTATCTTTAGTTGTATATTATTCTTATATTATTGCTTAATTAATTATTACTATGTAATACTTTTTGAGTTCATCCTTAATATTAAAAATTTTAATTCCATATAAAATATATGTGTTCTCATTTAAAAAAACAAAATTGACACACTTACAAATATGGGATGGACTTAAAAATTATTAAGATTCTAATAATTCAAGAAGGTAATAACTAAAGGTAACCAAAAAAAATTATAANGATGTCAGCCGAGTTGAATCTGACTGAACGACAAATTAAGATATGGTTTCAGAATAGGAGAATGAAGGATAAGAAATCTCATAAAGATCAGCCACCGCAAACAGATCTTACTGGATACGTGGATGGTTATGGAAGTGAAACATCTACCACGGGCTACCCACCACTAAAACACATCGTGTCAGGAGACGCATACACAGCCGATTATCCTGAAATACAACCAGCTAAACACGAAGACCCTTATTCGGGTACTTATAGAGACTTTGATCTATTAGCACCAGCATCTCACGACTCTTACGGGATAGCCAAGCATCAATGGTCCCCGGTAGCTACTGCTCAATTTCATCAAAACTTTTATAATGATACAAACAATGTGAGTATTTCAACGTCATTAGGTATATATATATATATATATATATATAAATATATCATAAGATACAACTCATATATTAATAAAATAATACAAAACACTGTGAAATATTATTTTACTGAACGCTATTTACATAATTTAAATGTAATCTCCGTATTTATATTATATTGACTATGGAAACGGTTATACTTCCGTTTTCATTACATTAGTTGTAAGAATGCGTTAGACGTTTGGCGTTTTGACAAATTAATTAGACTTTCCATTAAGGATCATTAAAGAGCGGGCTCTTTGATAATGATGTATAGTATTTATGTTATAAATGTACACTATTGTATACGCTTGGTTTTACTAGCGATTTGTCTGATGTTTAAAAAATCATGTCACACAATGGTACATAGTCGTATAAATTAAGCATTCTATATTGTAGCTCATACTATAGTCCAGAGGAGTGAACCTATAAAAAAATTGTAAAATATATTAAATAGAATTAATGGAGGGGTAATAATTATTGTCACCCTTTTATATTTTTCGTCAACTCTCTCATGTAATGTAGTACAAAAACCTCGACATTTTCGGGGCGGTGACCAGTGATTGATGGACGATTTTTATGCGATTGGTCGTACAACTGTGCGAATTGTATTATAATATACATCTTGACAGTTATCCCCAACTACCGTAGTGCTCTATATAACATAATTGAATGTGCCATTAAAAAAAAAACCGTTTGCAGTGGTTAGAAATACGTAATTAAGACATTCATTCTGGTTTATATAATATTTTTCATACATTTCTTTAAAAATAATAGATAATATTCAATGTCAAAATGAGGTGTATTAAAAAAACTAAACGATAAGAGCATCGTTGGATCATTTTAAAATATATTATTATACTATATACGACAAGTGTTAAATAAATTAATAATAAACATATTTTTTATTTAAATAAATTTTATTATAGAAATAACTTTGTCACGACATGTGCTGGTTTTATTGTCATTCTAATACATTGCGGTGAAATAATTTTTGTTCATAAAATTTTTCTAAAAATCGAATATATGAGTAAGATTTAATTTAAGTAACTTAATCTAAAGTACCTTAGTGATAACTACGATTTATACAATGATACAGTATAAATATTATTTAAGTATAATTTTTATTATTACATATTATAATCATTATTATTATATCGTATGATTTATTAAGAATACTACCCATCATTATTCCATCAAGTTATGTTTTTTTTTTTTCAAAAAGTTTTACAGAAATATCATAATAATTTTTATTAATAATATAAATATAGTATGATTCAGATCATTTTGTGTGTAAATTAACAATCAATACTCAATATAAAAAAAACATTTTCAAATTAATGACGATATTAAGTGTCAGGATCATCTAAATTGTGAACATTAATTAAATCGGTCTAGACCAAGACAAGTTTTTAAATATAGACATTTTACAAAATTCTGGTCGCCCGAAAATTCCTTCTTCTCTAAATTATTTACACAAAATTTTGCGTTTTTTATTTAAAGGTGCGGTATGGCCAGCTATCATTTTAGTAAGATGTAGTGCTTAGTTTGACTGTGTTAATGGAAGTGCATTGGTTTTTTTTTTTTTTGTTGTTGCCGACTACTGGGTAAATGGGAAGAAAATGAAATAGAATCATATTAGACACAAAAATATTTAACAGAAGAATACGTATGGGCTACTGTGGTTTTCGGAAACGTCCGGCAACCTTTTGTATTACAACGCAAATAATGCACAAATGATGAACCGCCCGCAGTGAAGTCGGTCTACATAGGTCAGATCCGGGCTAGATACCAAACTATTTAGCTACCGCAGTAGTTTTTTTTTTTCACTTTTTACAACGATTTCCTTTTTTTAAATAGTTCAGTATAACACTAGGGATGAATTCTATTTGCAACGATAATGGTTTATTCCTCCGACGAACGCAATTTAGATACGGTGGACCATATTATTGAAAACTAGTCCAACCGACACATACAACGTTGCACGTTCGATGATAAATTGATTGTTCGTTTGCTAAATCCGACCGCCGCCTTTACTGTTGCAGTCACAATGGTAATTGTGTGTTTTTTTTACCGATCGAAGTTTTTGTAGGGAAATATTTGGCGCAATTTTTTTTTTTTCATCGAAAATCCAAAAACTGTATAATACTTGACCCGGGCAAGTCGCACACACCGTTTGTGTAGAGCTGGGTAATACATGTACTCCGACGGCGACACACGCCATGTGCGACATTAAGGTTTTTGCGCTCTGTTTCATTTTGAATAACATAATCTACACCGCATATGGTGTGGTGGACTTAACGGGCTATTAGACTCCGATTGATTTCACCGAACTCGCAAATCCGTTGAATTTGGAAATGTGAATATATTATGTAGTCAACGCAATAGCCTCGACGTATAAATCAAACATCAATCGTTTTATACGATTATTAAAGAACACTACATGACATTATATTCGTTATTGTAATGAAATAATGAACGCTGGAAAGATTACATCACCGTAAGTCCGAATGTTAAATCATAAAAGATAACACAAAAACAATCGTAATATTAAAATTATTAATTTTGAATTAAGTATAATTTATGAAATAAAATTACTTCTTTTTATTCATTTTTCACACCTTACTACCATTTAAAAAAAATTTACAAAATCTGTTATTGTTATCGACCATGAAAATATATTTTCATAGTATAAATGTTAAAAATATTCAATATCAATTAAAGGTATTTATGTAATTAATCTGATAAAGAACTACATTCATTTAAAAAAGAAAACTAATATTTATTTGTTGATTTTTCTAAAAAATGAAAAATACATTACAGTACAGTTATTATAAAATTAGTTTATAATCATAATTATATCACAAAAATGATAATACTACAAAACTCAAATTTTATTTGGAATTATAATGTCAAATAAAATTATGATTATTATAATAATCAAAGTCTCGAAGATTACAAAGACGTATAAAAAACGAAACTTCTTTGTAGAAAACAAACAGCAATGCGTTTTAAATTTCATGATTATTGTTTAGTATTTAAAGTAATATTGTTCAGATATTTTTTTATATAATTTCGGATTAACTTCTTATATATGAGCCGCACCAACATCAACTAGATACAGGCAAAATTGCAATACTTGATAAACCATAAACAATTTGGTCATAAAAATATAATCATTTTGATTCGAACATTTTTATAAAAATAATGTTTGGTTTAGTTTATGCTCTTTATCAAATGTCAACGTAAAACGTTATCTGAACTCGAATACTGAATATTTCATACAGTTTTAAAAACAAAGGCACCAATTTCAAGTGATCATCATCTCCTTAGCTTCTATCCCAACTGTCTGAGATTGACTCTACTTAAGCGTAATTAGACAAGATTTTTACACCTGTCGACCTGACGCAACACCATTATAGACGAGGAAATCAATAAAAAATCAACTTCAAGTATTAATCTAAACCTCTTTAAAGAAAATCATTAACAAATATGTTAATGTCTAGGGTGAAGACGTAACTGAAATCGACCCTATACTAATTCCCATTTATGGCCCATATACACTCCGTGACATGTATCAGTTATTACGGTCTTATTACTATTTCATTAAAGTCGAAACAAAAACATGTGATTTAATTTCAAAGATAGAATTAAATGATGTACACGTTTACATAAAAGTATAATTTTGATTTTTTTTTTTATAAATAAACATTTTATTTAAAGAGATTGTTTAATTGAATACATCGTTATTAAAAATCATATACTGCTTTAACAAAATTTTTTTACAACTATTTGAATGAGTATAATTCAAATAACAACTTAAAACAAATTAACTTATTTTTATACATTATTAATTTTAATAGCTTGTTATTTAATTATATATAACTGTTTATAACGTATAAGCGGGTTTTCTATTCAAACAGATACGTAGGGAATAAAGATTTATGAGTTCTCATAAGTGTATTCTATGATCGTTTAACAAAACTGTTTTTAGTGGCATGAAATGCAATAGCGAATTATTAATTTAAAGAAGTGTAAACTGTCTTATTGTGTACTCAGTTATTTCAATGAGTAGTGTAAGAAATTTCAATCAAAAATAAATATTATTATAAATAATAAAAAACAGTTATTATTCAAACTGAACAATTAATTAAAAATTAGTGATCATATTTTGCTAATTATTATATTTCCTCAACCTAAGTTAAAAATATTTTTGACTTTGTTTGTGGAGAATCGATTTATATCGGCTACTCGACGCGTGTTAAATCGTGCAATATGGACGTTCAAAAAATTACAAAAACGTACACATATGAATCACCCTCAAAGTGTATTTACCCAAGCTAGAAAATTCGCACTCTCCCTTGTCTATATCCCACTAGGAGTCGATAGTAGTAGTAGTGTTGGCTGATAAATAGCAAACACACAGTGAGAGCCACGAGCGTTTAACGGGGGACACATGGCTTGAGGAGGGTGGTACATTGCCGGTGACAAAAGGAGAGACATGACTTCTGTTTCGTGGGTTCATTGTGTTTTCCCCCCTTCCGACGCATAGATTTCCCTATGCATTGCATGTGTATAGATATAATATGCTATTTTATCCGCTGGACCCATGGTAGAGGGTCACCATAGATGTGCTTTACTGATTTATAGGTTAGTCGGTTTTTGGGACCCGATCAGTTACGACATAATGTCCGCTTCGATGTATCATGGTTGGGATCAAATGCTACAACGTCCTGTGGACGATGCCGAATCGCCAGTGGATGCTAAAGGTAAGTTAAATCAGCCGGCCACCAAACTCAATTAAAAGCTTATAACTTTTATAGGTAAGAGATCACGACAGACCTATTCCAAGTACCAAACGGCAGTACTCGAGACCGTATTTCAAACCTCCAAGTATATAGTGCGGAGCAAACGTCAGCAGATGTCAGCCGAGTTGAATCTGACTGAACGACAAATTAAGATATGGTTTCAGAATAGGAGAATGAAGGATAAGAAATCTCATAAAGATCAGCCACCGCAAACAGATCTTACTGGATACGTGGATGGTTATGGAAGTGAAACGTCTACCACGGGCTACCCACCACTAAAACACATCGTGTCAGGAGACGCATACACAGCCGATTATCCTGAAATACAACCAGCTAAACACGAAGACCCTTATTCGGGTACTTATAGAGACTTTGATCTATTAGCACCAGCATCTCACGACTCTTACGGGATAGCCAAGCATCAATGGTCCCCGGTAGCTACTGCTCAATTTCATCAAAACTTTTATAATGATACAAACAATGTGAGTATTTCAACGTCATTAGGTTCAGATTAAAATTTATAATAGAAATAAATATAGTTATTATTTTTCAGTTTAATCATTCGGATTTCCATAGACTTCCAACAAATCATCATCACTCGTTTGATTCTCCAGTAAGTTATTCATTTGAAAATAAATATTAATAAAGCGAATTTAACGTAAACAATTATTTATTTGCACATTTTCATTTATAATATTATATCCTTATAATTTTACAATTACATCAATGTGGTCTAAGTTATCAAGAAATACTACATTCTGTTTTTAGTATTCAATTTAAATTACTGTGGTACATTCTGTAGAGTTTTCTATGTTTATTTTAGGTGTCCGACTACTGTCCACCGCAGCTACATGCGCATGGCTATTAACACTTGTACTCAATGTATAAAACACACAAAACTGTGCGGTGCTAAAATATCTAGTCAATTTGTTCGCTAATGATATTTGGGATGTATGATGGTCGTTTGTCATATCCTGGAGAAAATATTTTGAGATTTCAACAATACCCTTTCACACGGACCACCCAGCGGACGTCGCTTTGAAGGCATCACGAACAACATCAATGTACATAACATTTAACGTTTACACCGTAAGTGTATTTTGCCGTTTTCTGGAATAATCAAAATTATTTTATTTATTGTATTAAAACTTCAGATGTTTATATATTATATTATTATGCGTGAGTGTGTTTTGTAATTTTATATGTAATAAAATGTTTTATAAATGAATCATTCACTGACGACGTTTGATTTCGCTGTTTTTAATATCTCTCTGCCTTTGTCGTGTACCGTCAATATCGCGTATATAGAGAATACCATGTTATACTCTCCCGCTGTTGCGTGACCATATACTCAATCAGCAGCTGCTCTACAGTGGCTCGTACAAAATGATCCAATATCCCGTGGCTGCTATGTTATCGAGCTACTTTCAAAATGTATGCTTCGTTGGAAAAAAAAATTTATAGGAACTTTTGTATTGTATCGAAAAAATCTGAATAGTTGTTTCGTAAAGTTCATTATTGAATTTATTATGAAAATATATCGTTTTAATAATGATTGATTACCGCCTTATTTAAATAAAATTATAGGTATAGTTGGTTATAAACAGAGAGGATATAATATTTATTTATCGGAAACTTGGAACATTTCATTAGTGAAACTTATTTTAGTGATGTTATAACTAATAACAGCTACATTCAGAATAATTGTTTAAGATTATGCATAATTGAAAAACTGTTAAGAAGGACTGTAAACCTTTACTGTAGTTTCATTACTAAAACTTCTATAAGGGCGTTCCTATTGCAAAACATGTGGGTCACTGTGTGATGGCCGAATACCGCAGTGTCATCATCGTCTTCACACGCCATGGCAAATATAGTGGAAATACATAAATTGTCTAAGATACTAACGTAACTAAAACTGACAAAAACAATATTTTTTCGATAACATAGTATTCTTCTAATGAACATATTTAAGGTACACTAGTTAAATCACTAAAAAAAACGATGATTACATCATCATAGTACTTGTTGGAAACAATACCAAAAGTACTTCTGGTTTAATATTAAGTAGACCAGTAACTTTATAATTGTGATGAAATCTATTTCAAGAACAGTATGTGCTAAAATCTTCAATATTTAAATTTAATTATTTTTGTTTATCAGATACACAATAATATTGATTAACAAAATTAACTTAAAACAATTTAACCGAGTTTTTATCTTTAAATAATCAAACATGGTTCATCAAAAAATAAATAAATAAATAAAAAATAAAACATTAAATAATTTACTTTTCATTGAAATAAGATTATTGACTATTTAAAATAATTTCATTACATCGTGTTTACATTTGAGAACAATAAACGGTGGCATCATTTACGGTGACTGCAAAAACAGTAATACAAGAGGGCCGCGCAGAACGTTATCTTCTTAATGGCTTTCTGTACGACACGTCAGATCATTCCCGCGGAAACACCGTGACCGGGTCGCAGGGTTATGGTGTGTATACCTCTTCGTTGTAGTGTATGCATCCCACCGTGCGTCGCGAATCAGCTGCCCCTTGTTTTTTGAGCACCCTGAGCAAATAAAATAATATAATAACACAATATTAATACAACTATGCTGCCGAATAACAATGACTGATGATCTTAAATCGGCCGCACACACGTATGACTCGAATCATTATAAATCGTTATTTTATGTAAACAAAACTATTAATAGCCAATAGACATTTTCTCATCGAAATCCCAAAGTAAATTTGATCGGGATTTCCAAAATTAAGTCGATAATAATTCGCTAACAGAATTTATTTTGTTAATCTAAATTCGGATATTTAAACTATAGAATAACACTAAAAAATTCAGTCGAATAAATAAATATAAACTATAACACACATTGGAACCATACATTGTAACTAAATATCATACTGATGGGATATTTGTAAAAGCTGAGAGGTTCTTGTCGAAAAATACTAACAAAATTAGTCACGCCCGTTTAAGTCTCCGCAAATGCCAAGTTATTGAATCGCCGATTAATTTTATCTTAAAAGTGCCAGACTCGCACTGACCGACGACGGGAGAGAGGAGATTGCTTCTGTTTTATTCTGCCAAACCACAATTGTAGGGGTTTCAATTGAAATCGAGGTACATTGTGTCGTCAATGGATCTGACTACTATTGCACACCCCGCAGCAATTCGACGGCGTTCATATAGACACCGTAATAAATGTTCGCACGCGACGTTGTAAATGATGTAAATATGAAAATTTTTACTATATCAGTTAATCTATGCGGTATGGCTGAAAGTGTGTATTATTATGCGATGTGAGGGTTGTTAAATCGTTAGTGGGTATTTTAATCTATACGCGGCACAATGTTTCATTTACTATCGTCGAATTCTATAATAGCACGTCCGATTGTATAATATCATGGAAGATCAGAGAGTTTTATCTGACTACAACGTACCACTGAAGTCGTCGAGGTTTACCTCATAGACTTGATTGTTATTACGAGAAAAATTGTTCAACCAAAACGAGTTGGAGTTGAAACATGCCAATAATTTGGCGGTACCATCATTAGTCAAAAAAAAAAAAACGAAAAAAAGAAAGACCCTTTGACTGTTAAGAGAATTCCTTTCGTTTTCATTCCGAATGTTGTAAAAGTGTTGGCGGCGGTAGGGTGAAAAAGAAAACAATGCGTGTTGTAGTAGTGGAAATAGTGTATTGTAGTGGTGGTGGTGGTGGTGGTGGTGGTGTACGCGGTTGGGGTTTTAAATTTTCTCGCTACTACCGTGGCCGCCGGAGGGAAGGGCGGATTGTCACTCAAGTTCTGTGAACAGTACACATACTATGTGCGCGCATTGACTAATGACACCGGGCTCCGGTATTGGCACACACCCCACCTCCCGCGGCCGCCTGCATCGTTGAAGGGCTGTCAAATACATAAAAGATGGATGAATATTTGCAACGGGCAAACAACACACACAGGGACCATTTTGGATTTTTTCACTCTTTCTTGTCGTTTTTTGTTTTTACTCCGTTCGCTGGACTATTTTGAGGATTAGCGATTGTTTTTTTTTTTTAATAACATGTAACTATTACGCACTTGTAATGTAAACATTTGATTGAGCGCCAAAATTATTTTTCAACTTAATCAGCTGATGCGTTTTACTTAAAAGTAATATAAAACAACGTAAACGACATCTAAAACTGCTGGTGGATTGTATTTCAGTTATAGTTATCATAGTTAACGCGTTGGGGGCGTACGAGTCTGTACGTTGTAAACGTGTATTATATATTGCAAACAGACCGCGAAGAAACGGTGACCTCGATGTTTACGACTGTTTTATTAGGTCGTTGAGAAATTTATCGGTAAAGACAGAAGCAGCATGTGATATGCATCTGGTCATTTAGCCGGAAACGCGCGTCTCCCTCTCCGAGAAAATAAAAGAGAATCAATTCAATTTTTATTGGTTTTTTTCTATAGTGGTCGCTGTATGTGTTTTGTTTATTACAATTCGGTATGGTTGATTAGCGCGGCTAATTATTGATGTCACCCTCGCAAAGCCATTGATGAGTCATTAACAACGAAATACTATACTTATTATTACCATGAAGCGGCACCCTTTTCCATATGAAACGATTCGCTCCGATTGACGCAATTGTTTTGCTTTACATTGAAGCCTCTTTGAGTGTTTAATTTTCAAAGTAACGATTTTTAAACAGTATTTTATTGTTTATTTTCAAACCATCAAAATAGTACAGTAAATACAAATAAACGAGTTATTCTGTATAGTTATTCAGTCATTTTATTCCATACATCGAGTGCATGGTTGAAAATTAAAAATTGAATATTATCACACTATCAATACACATTAAACGATTATTTTTTAATTAATCGTACAATGTGTCGAGTATTACGGTACAAAGGATGACGACTGTAAATATCCATTCAACTTAACGGTGGTTTTGGGGTATTAATGGTTTGCCGTAACCCTAAATGCAGTCTGTTTATGGTCCCTAGGAAAACAACACTTATACACGACAGTTCCTATACGTGCATACGATTTGCTTTCTTTAAATAATTGTTTTTTTTAAACCGAAAAAAGAAACTCATTTCTCAATGCCTCGAAATTGAAAACAATTATACAGTTAAACGTTTTCAGAACTCATTTGCGTGTCTATGCGCACTTTTACCAAAACAAAAAACCATGTAATTGATGGAAACACTCTTTGATTTTTAATAAACACACATATTGAAAATAGTTTTGTGTACAGGTACTATTTGATCTATTGTAATGAAACGATAATAAAATGTTAAGTAGACTGCCAAAAAACAATTATTATTTTTTTCAATTACGTACTAGAATAATTTAAAAATAAACAAGTTATATTGCAAAACTTCCTTTTAGTATTGAAATGATAAACTTGTCAGAATAAATGTTTAATAAACATATTATGTTTACTATTTCAATAGTTCAAAGTCACTAAGGTTGAAATCTTTTTTTAATTTTTTTTTCACATAATACTTGATAAGATAAAATATTTTTATTACTAAGTAAATCAAATTATATAAAAAATTCCTGATTCTATTAATTAATTATTTATTTTTTTTTTGTTAAAATTAATTATGCATAATGACAACAAATAAAAACATATTTGACTTGACTTTATAGCTACAATGAATTAAAACAGTATTTTAAAGTGAAGGAGGTTTATTTTTATTTAAAAATTACCTGAATTATGATTAAAGTATAATATTAAATTGATATTTATCTATAGTACTTGTAACTATAACTCAAATTGTCTATAAACAATTGAAATGCTCAAAATCGTTACGCTTGCATATAGTAATAATAGTTAAAAAGTCAAAAAATATTAAAATCTAAAATAATAAATCGTAATTTTACGTAATATTCAATAAAAAAACAATTAAAATTATTTAAAAATAAATCCTGATATTGATGTTAATGGTTCTGATTATTTTAATAGTTAGCCCAAAAAAGATTATCGAATATTTCAACGAATTTTAGTACTTTTAGAAGAAATTTATTTTCAATCTTCATACTATTAGAACAAAGCATTTTGCACAAGTGGTATTTACATGACAAAGTGATTGATTGCATTTAGTGAAATTTTGTCTCCGAGGCAGGTCATGTACCCATTTTATTTAATTTCAATTAAACGCCACCAGTGTGACATGATATCGTTTTAAGAATAACTGTTGACAAATGATACCAATGACGCTTTTTAAAGACCCAATCCCTTACAATGCAATAAAACCGGTCTACCTTACAATAACTGTGCATAAGAGGGATGTCACCCCGAATTGCCACCGCGTAACTCATCTAACAACTGTAAGCTATTTCCTCGCACCGAAAAGACAACAATCGCGATAAATCTTCTGCAGTAGTTGCAACAACCTGTTGTTATGTACGAAACGTTTATACGCTATTATTATCATTATGTTTTATGGCCGTTTTTATTAGTGCATGCTTTTAAACATCAAGTGTATCATTGATATACTAACAATTGTTATTCATCTTATGCACTTATTGTTAGTCCCATTTAAAGATCGATTAAACACATACATTTCAATTACTACAGTGATTCTATGTCTTAATTCAAAATCTGATAGATTCCATGAATAGGTTTTTAAGAATTTTTAATTTAGAATAGTTTGAATAGAAAGCGACGTTTTGTCACGTGTTGAATAACTACGAGTTAATTTTATGGATAAAGTTTTTTTCGCGTATTTAAAAATGTCGAAATTAATTGAATTATTTTATTGAATTTAAATTATTATTTTTCTCCCAAAAAGATGCCAAAGTAGACATATCAGCTTTTGAAAAATAGCTACAGAATTTTTTTGTTGTAATCATTAACAAGTATAAATGATTTAGAAATAACAGCAAACAAACAAAAAATAATGTTGCTTAATTTTATTTTTTACTAAAAAGAAAGTTCAACGCATTAACAGGTAATACACAACATGAAAGTGCGTATATAGAGTTCTGTCACTCATCATGATAAAATGTTTAATGTAATAAGTGAAACAATGTGGATAAGTTATTTACCATAACAAACTCAGACACTGATACTCGATGGATGATCACGGCCGTGACAAATGATGGACCTTTCGTCAAACAAAGCCGGACTAAGTTTTCAAAGATAAATTTGAGTGGATAAACCTTCAAGAGGTCGCAATAAGATCACTAACTATACGAGACACGCGCTCTTACATAATTAGTATGATGTTTGCAATGATCGAGGGTGTCGAGTCGAGATGGTTGTAGGTTCACTGAAATCCACAATGAACACGGTCAAAGTTAGTCTAAATCTTCTTCTGTTCGCATACGTGGCTGTCAACATCTTACACTTAGTGTGTGTGTGTGAATACAACCCTCGTGTATGAATCTTCATGGGGTCGGGCCGTATCCGACGCGTTTCACGTTCACGATTACACTGTCCGGTGGAGGAGACATGTGTTAGACACATCACGAACTCCAATAGACTCAAACTGACTAATAACACATATGACGCAAGGTATGCCTATTCGAGTTTACAGATATCGGGAACTATCAATGAATAATTGAAACACCAATTGGGCATTAATTTTTGTCTACCGTTTAAACCATGAAATTATTACTAATTGAGTTCAAATAATTTTTTAGAAAAATTCGATTAAGATAGAAAAGAAGTTGTCAGTTTTAAACCTTTTTAAATTATTTTTATTTTAATAGTGGATAGAACATGGAACATAGAACAAAAGTCTTTTGTTCTGTTAACCACAAATAAATTTCACTATGTAGAACGAGTAATTTTTATAACGTAATAAAAATTTAACCATTTTCTTCTTAAATATTTTATTTTTACTTCTATTGAACACAGTTCTGTTTAAATTAATTGACCGGTCATTCATATAATGTGTTTTACCGACTAATTTAACACTAACTAGGATAAATTGAACGAAAAATATCATTTATTATCCAAATATTCAACATGGTTGAATCTTGTTTTTAAAAAAATAATTTTATTCATATTGTATAGTACCATAATTTGAGATATAAATAAATAAATTATTTGTAATCTTAGAGTAAATTAACCAAAAAGATTATACTCATACAAATATTTATTTAATTATTATTTTTTCTTTTTATAAATAATTGAAAAAAAAATTAATGAACATTTTTAATAATTTAATGAAATAAACTGATTTGTACGATGAAGGAAATGGTAAAATGTTTATTAATTTAAGGCGCACAGAACGCCGTGGACTCCCGGTGACGGGCAACAACACGGACACTGCTGTGTGACGGGCAGCTGTGCCGTATGTTAGCCGCCAACACAGCGAGTGCGCGCAATAATACACTGGCACTCACACACACGTACTACACTAAACACACACCGGTTCATTCATGCGTCGTCCAAGGCGCTCTCTGAGTGCTCCGCGGTGGCGGCAGCGGTACTGCACGAGGGACAGCCAGAACCCAGTGCGGCCGTTGCGCTTTCTCATTGGTCCGTGATCGTGGTTACGTTTTTCTACACACATACACGCGCGCGCGTTGCGCTCCGTACACAAACTCGTTGGCGGCCGCCGCCGCTGTTGTGCTGAGAGTAGCATCGGAAGTTGTCGGGCGGTGACCAAAAACTACTATACCATTCTGGCGTACAGTGTCTTAAGCGGCCGTTCCTCTGTACTGTTCCACTCGCCACCGAACGCGGACCGTCGTCGTATCACTTACGTTTTCGGTACACCAGCACGTGGCCACGCGCCGTTTTAAATATTAATTACTATATTTTGCCATTAACTACAAATTACTATCGTTCATCGCGGTTGATAATTTTTTTTTAATTTTGTGAACATTTCGTAAATCAATATCGACTTAAAATTCGTTCAGCGATATTATGACTATTTTATTGCCGTACTCAGATATGGTCGAAACTTGACGGAGTTAGTTCGTTTTTTTTTTTTTAATTATATATTATATATAAATATTATATTTGTAGTGACATTGAAAAACTTTATTCGGTTACAAAAGTTGCGAAAATAAATTCGTCTAAATGAACATGAGTTCGTATCAATTCATGAACTGCTATCAGCAAAGCCAAGCACAACAAGCCAGAGCGGCCACGTCGCCCGTTGTAGATCCCCTGCAGGCGAGCAGTCCAGGAGCTGCGGACTATTATGGGCAAGCTCAAGGAGTGTACAACAGTGGCCCAGCAGCCGGATGCTATTCGCCACAACAGTATGCATCTCAATACATGCAACAGTCTTCACCGTCCATGATTGACTACACACAATTGCATTCGGTGAATCATCAACAGCAACAGCAGCAACATCAGAGACTGCAAGCAGCCGCGGCCGCCGCGGCCGGCGTTCACTTACAACACCTACAGCATGGTGGAGGCTCTGGTGGCCTGCCGTCGCCGGGTGCCATATCACCCATATCGTCTTCATTGAACAATAATGGTGGCATGCCATCCGCGGCCGGCATTCAATGTAAGTACGAAGTGACGGCTACCGCTACGCCCAACGGTATAAGTTCACCACAAGATTTGACTACGTCCGCACCTCCGGGTGCCAGATCTCCACCATCCGTGTCCATGAAAGCTGCGAGGTCGTCAGCGGCAGGATCATCACCCGGCGCCCAGGGACCCGTGTCCCAAACTTCATCATCACCCGCTTCATCCATATCGTCCACATCGTCCAACGGCGGTGGAGGTCCAGGAAACGCATCGTCCGGTAAAGGGTCCGGTCAGAATCCACCACAAATTTACCCGTGGATGAAACGAGTACATCTTGGCCAAAGTAAGTACATTTTTAGTAAAGATTTTTCTTGAAAAGATTTCTGTTTTATTTGTCAACTTTACAGTAGACCACCTCTTCCATATCTAGTAAATTTACAAAAAAAATTCAATTAAAATAGTGTTAGAACCAACCAATCATGTATAAAACTCTAAAGTGAAATTGTATTTTTTTTTTAAGGTTTACATAATAATTTTAGGAAATACGAATTTTTTTGCATACTCTTGAAAACTAACTGTAGTTTTTGAGCCTTTTAGTAAACGTTATAAATTCTACATTAACAAATTATTCCGAAATTCCAAAAGAACACTACTAAATCAGATTTTTAGAAAAAAATAAAGATGTTAAAATATAATTTAAATTAACTGTATCTATAGTTTTTCTTCTATTTATTATTTAATAAAATTAATTTCACAGTCAAAAATCACAATAATTTGTCTAAAATAAATAAAATATATGTCAGATGGAATATTCAAATCTCTCAAAAACATTCTAAAAATGAAATTAAAATTTTTTTGTTTAATTCTTTAAATACCTATAATAGCAAAACAAATATTTATAAAATATGACATTTACTCTCAATATCTATGTTATTAAGGAACTATTTTAAATATTGTTGTAAAACATTATTTTTTCAACAATTTGCCTTCAAAAATTAAGTTTGTTTGATTTATTATATGTAATTGAAATAATATATGATAAAATATATAAAATTAAATGAATAATAATATCGAAATTAGTATTTATTTCTATTACTTAAAATAACAATTTTTAATTAATAATAATCTAGACCACATTCTTATTATTTTTTTCGAATTTCCAAAGAAATGTTATCATTAGCTTTATTATTGTAAACCATTAATACTTGTTTAACAAAATGTTTAACTTGAATGATAAAAATAAATATTTTTTCAGTTTATTTTTTTATAATTAAAATTTATATATACATAAGTATTGTTATATTAAACGTTATTTTCATATTTTTTCTTTAAAATTATTGTTAGGTTGGGTTTTAATAACTATGAAGCATTTTTTCGCTAATCTAAACAATTAGTTAAAATAATAAAACAACTGATCATAAATATAAAATTTAACTCTATTCACATGGTAATATCTAATCAACTCAACAAATTTTAAAATCAGTTCGAAATAAATCTAGAACCTATAAAACTGTGAAATCAAAAATCAAAAAATTAAATTTTTAAAAAAATATAGAATTTATTTTATGTTTGACATAACCGCAGTTTGAAAAAAAACATTTTAAAGGGGTTTGCTCCTTCGAAACCTTTCAATTTGCGCCTTTATTTTATATAACTGTTGAAATTGAAGCATTATAATCAAACTAATTTATTATTGATGTTGATTATAGAATCATTAAATATCAATAAAAATTTCGATAAAAGTCAAAAATTCTTTGTCAGATTTGAGTTTTAATTCAAATATGTTTTAATCGTGATAGGATTTCTTTATTTGTTGAAATTATTGATATTAAACTATTCAGTAATCTAAGTCGTGACTTATTTAATAGTACGTCAAAGGGGTGGTTTATTATTAAATCAGTGGTCAAATGTACAACACCCTCGAGTGGTATCAAAAGTACCGCCCACTCTCATTAATGTTGCCCGACTACTGTTTTATAATAATACCATATGAGTATTTCCTCGGAGATTGACTTGCTGTGAAACTTTACAAATACTGCATTTTAATTGGGTCCTGTTTTATCGTTATTTGAAAAAATCTCTTTTGAACAATCAAAGCGCCCACACAATTATAATTGTGACCCAAATGGGGTAGAAGACGACGCACAGCGTCAAACATCAAAAATCCTCAGTTCGGTTGTTATTTTTCACCCTTCGAAGAAAAACCCTCCCGCAGTGACAGAACATTTTGTCAACACGACAATCATCCGGGTCGTTTACATACTGTTAAAACGCTCAATAACAATAATAATTATAATATGATAAATTGAAGATTAATTACAACGGCACGAACGAACGAGTGTAATTAAACCAGAGCGGAATTTTTAAATGTCGTACGAAATAAATACACACACTACGTGTATGTAAAAAAACGAGGAGGAAAAAATGATTATTTTTATTGTGCGTGTTAATTGAATGGATCATAATAAAAATCACACTGTATTTACGCACTTTACTAATGGCAGCCAAAGTTGTGAATATAATAATAATAATGACGCACCCGAGTTAAGCACATAAAAGTTAATGAATTCAAACGAAAATCGCTAAAAATATCAAGTCGCTTTCAATCATCTCCGAGATTGGGAACCGGTATTTTTTAATGTATGCGTTCACAGTTATCTATCGATATCATTATTAATAACTATCGAGTTGTCATGGCAGTGTTTTAATATTTCCACGGGATTCAGACTTAACAGCTCAATGCCAACGTATATAATTACTTGAGTGAAATAAAACCTGCCATCGCTACTTCACGCAGAGTTAGTTCACAAGTCGCGCCTATCGTCACCTAATTTTAATTTTTCGCCTGCAGTGGTGAAGGGGTGCGACTAGTAATGTATTTTTTCTCACTCGGTCCAAACCGCGTTTTTACAAATTGCGCACTTACCGCCCGCAGGTGCAGTAGTCGCGGGTGGGGGATAATTTTGTACGGCACGTTTGCCCACACTTTTACCGCCCCATTTTGCCATCAAACGACCCCAAATCCGATATACATTATTAATAGTTTTCAGGGTACAAAAAAAAAAAAGAACAAAAACGTTACTTTTATTATTTTTCATCGGGGGGTTTGCGTTCTGGCGACTCGACGCTGCTGCAAATGTGTTGTACCGGTGTTCGGTTGTGCACGGGGGCGAACCGACGAGGGTAGAGCTCCTCTGGGGTCCTAAGGCATCGGGTCATATGTGCGCGCACTGAACGTGGTAATATTATGTGGGACGGTCGAACGAGGTCTGCCTGTCAGTCAATCGAGATATTCTCCTCTGTCGTCGGCGAATGGTAAAAATTCTCGTGCCGCCGACACGCACGTGTGTATGCAACACAAAAGAAGGCGCCATCCACTAAAAAATTGTATTCTTCGGTCGGAATAAAACGAACAACCTTTAAAAATGGTTTGATTATAATTTACCACGCTGCAACCCGAGTTGAAATCACCGAACAGGCCTTTTTCTTATTGCTACTAAATTGGCATGATAATGTAATCGGCGATAGTGTTGTCTATTGGAAAACTTTTTTAGATTGCTCGTATTCGTACAGACGGCGTTTGCGTATTTAATGATTCATGAATTATTTAAAACGATTCTTTTACGTGCACGTCTATATTTAACACTCAAATGTGTACTTGAAGTACACGTCCTTACAGATTTTACATTAAAATATGACATTTTTATCAGTAGACATTAATTCGGCTTTGTCTTGTGTGGACACATTCAAGTCCCATTTTTGTGCCGAAGGTAAAACATATAATTCGGCGTTATGAAATACTTATCTCGTTAGCATATACTTATGTTAATTGGACAATTTTTATAATAAATTAAAAATCGCGGCGCGAGCCTATTAGTATATGACCGAACGAGCAGCGGCGACGAATGAAAATTAACGGAATAGAACACATGCGATGGCTTCCAGAAAAGGAAATAATATTTACACGTACGTCTTTCAGTGAGAGTTGGTTTCGATCGACTAATTTGAATTATCCGACACCAGCTGTTCAAATTTGGTCTTTATACGTCATGTTGTTTTGGTTGGCTTTAGAGTAATTTTGTGCTTTAACTTCTTACAGATCGACTCACTGACTAATAATGGAAAACTCATTTCGTTTTTATTGTAAATTTTCGTAAGAAAAATACATTTTACTTCGATTTGCCGTTATTCAAATTAAGCGGTACTGTTGACAGTGACCTTCCTACGTTTGATTTATAAATAATACTTCACCCTACGCCATTAAAAGTATCATAATTTGATAAAGACGTCATTATATGTAAATGTGTGTAGGCATAACAGAACCAAAAGGCCGCGTGATACATTTGCTAATAGTGTGCTGGTTTATTGCGTTAAAGATATTGTTTTATTACGATATTTGTTTAGAATATTATCAATAAATCACCATAAGTCGGCTTATTACTGATATTAAAATGATACATTTATTTTATCGTTATTTCCTACCGCGCCAATATGCTGATACTTATTTTTTAATAGCTACAAACATGGTACCTGTATTCGGTACGTATGAGAATAGCCAGACCTGGACACGGCAAAATGCATATCTATGTATTATATCAACTGAGATAACGATTACTGATGTAAAATTATTCAGATTATACAATGTCAACCAAATACCTATTTACCATACACATGTTTATAATTATTGTCAGTCAATATTAAAAAAAAAATTTTAAACATAAGGAAATTTTAAATAAAATGCAGATACTTCTGGCGGTTGGGTTGACGTTTAAGAATGTAACCGATATTTTAACATGATTTTTATTTTAATTCCTCTTCTGAGTTGGACCGTATTCCTGTGATTTAATTTACACGTCATTTTACGCTTCAAGTCATAAAATAAAACGATATTTCTATTAAATCATAAGTTAGTGAAAAAAAAAAACACTCAAAAATTCGATTGTAATGATATAATAGTTATTATTGATGTAACGGAATATTTCAAAAACGTGAATATTTTTGAGAATATTATTTGAAAATTACTATAGAAAAATATATTGTCAAAAGAAAAATAGACTAAACAATATCATTAAAATTATTCAATTAAACTTGAAAATTATTTGAAGTAGTGGATCTTTGTTGAATATTATTTATGAAGTGAAATAATCTTTTATAGTCGCATGATAACAAAAATTCTCTAAAAAACATTTTAGTCGAAAAATGATTCATTCCTTGCATTTTTATGACTTCTTACTGTTTTGGCATTTCTATAACTTCTTAATGTTTTATTTGTTGCTCAAAGAATAAAAAATTAAAATCCTTCACCCAAATAATTTTTATTATCTGTAAGTAAATAAATAAATT